TACGTCCTTCCTTGGAGCACTCGTTAGCTAATGCCCTAGCCACTAGTGTCTTACCACAACCTAATAATATACATGAACATGTATCAGTTATTAGTATGTCTATAAGACCAGTATAAGCATACAGTATACAATGTACATGTACATGAGTATGACTGTGACTGTGAATGTACATGTACAGTCAAACCTCTCTAAGACGAACACCTATGGGCCAGCCATCACTGTCCTTTATTACCGAATATGGAGGTGTCTTTAAATCGGAGGTTATCCCATGCTAATCAGACCAGAAAATCCGCCATTTTCTTGATGCGCGTTAATTAGAAAGTCTGTTGTGTGGGCCGTGTTTGTCCATTGGAGGTTAATTTGTACACATGTAGATGTGTGGGGACAGTAAATCTCGTCCGTTATACAGAATAGAGAGGTTCCACTATACAGAGGTTCTTTTATACACTACCCAATGGCCTTATGGCCGGGACAAGAGCAACTGTATGTTATAGAGAGGTGTCCGCTAATTGGGGGCTCGTTTTAGAGAGGTTTGACTGTACACCTTAAAGACTTCATTATTTATAAACTTTCATGTACACATACATGTACGTAAGTAAAAATTAGCTAAAGCACAAAACATTAACTTTAAAGTTCAGCTTAGAAATTTACAGTTTAATTCCCACAAAGCATTCTAAGTGAGCTAAACAGCATGATTCATGAACTGACAAGCACTACAATACAGTATAATTATGATATGTAGAGCAACTTTATAAAGTCATAAAAATTCAAATTGGATCAAAATCAGCTCAAAGTTGATAAACAGCATTAAGACATGTACATGTGTATGTGTACATGTACATGTACATGCATGTACACATACACGTATGTATCACTATAAGCTGCAAATGAGCACCTATGCCAAAATTCTGTGGAAACCCTTGCATCTGAGTTAGCACTTTCAAACTAAAAGTGTTCACGCGTACATGTAAAATGTGCACCTTTAAAATTTCATTTCTCAGAAACTGAAGGTGGGCTAATTCTTATTGATGCATGCTCCCATTGGTTTATATAGCACTTCTGGTCGTGCATGCGTCATATTGAGAACCAGCCTTAATACTCCAAATAGAAATAGATACACGTACATGTACATACATGCACATGTACATGTACACAGTATACAATGTACATGTGTATGACTGTATGTGTACATATACATGTACAAGTACACGTACATGCATGAATTTTTTAACAGTACATGTAGATGTTTATTAGGTACGTGTACATGTACATGGTTACCAGGTGGTCCGTGAAACAGAACCCCACGAGGAGGTGATATATGAAATGTCTCAAACACCTCCGGATAAAGAAGAGGAAACACAATCATCTCCTTCAGTGACCTAATATGCCCAGTTAGTCCCCCAATGCTATTAAAGTTAGTGTCCCTATCAATAGTCATTGGGTTGATGTCAGCTAGACTGGCTCCTATGGCTACTCTGTCTCTTGTTGGTCCTGTTGTGATGTCGTCTTGTGTGAAGTTCATTGGGAGGCACTCGGAGCGGGACCTCTTCATGCTTCTCTTCTTACGACGCTTGAATCGAGCCTCGTCTGAGTCTTCATCACTACTGGAGGTACTGGACCCCTTGAGAGAGAGGGGGGAGGGAAGGAGAGGGTCAGAATTAATACTTAAATGTGCACGGGCACACAGTAAAATGAAGGTATACATGAATGTACCATGTCATGAAACATGAATAGTATACATACATGTACATGTATGTGCAGTTTTATAAGAGTATTTGTTGTGAATAAATCCAATAATGTACATGTACATAGACATTTTGGTGGCCCAAAATTTCAAAATTTAATCCTTAAACGTGCATAATTTCACATTTCACATTCACAAAAATAAAATGTTGCTGGAATAAAATTAATTTTACTGGCTATTCAAATAAATTTGGCATCACAGAAATTTAGAATTACCTGATGTGTTTTGTGTCTCAGAGTGCTTGGCCTGTGTCTCTGTACTTGATAAGCAGAGGGCCCATTGCCAGTTGATCTGTGATAACTGAACGAGTGCTTCCTTCTCTTATTCTTCTGCTTCTTATGAGGCGACTCCTCAACAACCTACGGACAATGGAACATGCACTAGTAAATAAGTAATAATATCTTATAACAGCTACATGTACATGTACATTGTAGCGATTGTACATGTATGTGTACATGTACATCATGTATGTGCCCATGAATGCATGTATTAATTCTTTTACTAGATATGCATGCATACATGTACATTCTCTAATAACCCACATTCCACAAGTGCATGTACATGTACACCTATGTATACATGTACTGTATCTTCCTCCTACTACATGCATATTACATACAATGTACACGTACCTGTATAACAGGTTGATACTGATACACAACTGGTCTTCTCTTCCGTAGATTATAATACCCAGTCTCTTCATCTTCCTCCTCCTCCTCTTCTTCTTCCTCTTCTCCCCCTACCTCCTCCTCCTCCTCCTCCTCTCCCTCTTCATCCTCTCCTTGTTCTTCTTCTTTAGTTTCCATCTCTTCCTTTCCACTGGTTCCTTTATTATTATTAGTATTGCTTACTGATGTAGCAGTGGCTGAGTCTTCGGTTTGAAGTCCTCTGAGAGAGTAGTGAGTCATTGTTGGTCTGTAACGTCTTTTGGCAAGAGGAGATAAGAGCTTCTCATAAGGCTCTAGCTCATCCTAAATAATATGAGGACACATAATAACAACTGCTTACATGTACATGCACGTACAAAGTACTTTTCTAAATGCTAGTTAAGATGTATACATGTACATGTACACGTACATACCACAGGTAGTTTATTTTGCAGCTGCAAATATTCTTGGTGATAAAAACTAATAAAAATATTCAATTAAATACCATGGAAACTATTGAGCGTTGCTATTGTTGCTATGATAATTGACCACGTGTTTATACAATTACAGTGTTCAGCAGCTAATCAGCTATTCTTTAGCAGCTTTAGTGGAGCCATCCAGACTCCAGTTCTCTATCCGTCATCTTCTTGCATAGATGGACTGCTCTTTGCTGCAAATCAGTGCTGGTCAGTCGGTCATGATTATAAGCCACATATAAGTCAATAAACACTAACTAGAATGGATTAAGAGTCCCAAAATACGGCGAGACAGAGTGAGCGGAGAATCTCTGAAAGGAACTGACTTTTAAAGCAACTTCAAAGAGTCCAAAGATTAGTAACAGCAAAAAGAATAACAGCCTAAGAACACTGCTGTGCTTCAATGCTGCGCCGTTTTCATTAAAATAGCATCCGATTGCTATGGCAATTGCTAGCGGCGGGAAAAATCCGCGAATATTAGCAGCCGTGAATATAAATCGACTTATGGTAGCTGATATTGGTACCTTATGGCGGATAATTAAATTTGTCTTTACAGTTTAGTGGTAACTAAAGATCTAACTTCCTGTGCTCCAATGCTTTGCACAGGATTGGTAAGCAATGCTTCTTTAGGAGAACACACACAAGTTGATAATTTTTCATTATAATGATTTTAGTAATCTGCCAGATGGTAACTTTTCTCAATTATAGTCACAAATAATTATAAATTGGGATATGTGTTTGCCGGCTAGTTTTATTTCTATCATTTCAATGTACATGCAGTAGTGCCATATAATGTACAACTAGTGTATGAAATACTGTACTACTACTACACATACCGTATAGCGGAAAATTTTCGTGGCCCAAAATTTTTGCGGATCCGTCCAAAAATCAATTATGTGGCGTTAAATTTCGTGGCTTTAATTTTTGTGGTTTTCTACATTTCGGCCATCTTAAACCGTATAAAATTGATCTTCACGGATTTAATTTTCGTGGGTTTTGAAAAAATGCAAAATCCATGAAAATTTTCCGCTATACGGTAGTATCTTTTGTCATTTCACATTTTTTCTCATTATTATAAGAAATCAAAATAACACAAGTATACACTGCCTTCCTAATACATGTATATGTACATGTACTGTAGATGATGAAATAGTGCAATATTGCACCATATACCATGAAATTTATGCAACAAAATTTGTGTGAATCCTGCATT